GTGTGAACGCACCATTAGACTGAAGAAAAACCTGGGCAGCAGCTGTATGCACAGTCTCCCATTTCACCTGCTAAAGCTTGTAACACAGTTGTCTTTGTGGTTTCTTACGATTCTCCTCTTTGCACCATCACTCTAGCCTGGCCCTTGCCCTCCTACGCAGTTTCGCTCAATTCTAGTTTCCCTTCACTGCTCCGTCTGGCATTTCTTCCATAGACGAGGATTTCTTCGGGAGCATTTCATTCGGGCCAATCAGAGAACAGAARGTTGATTTTCTGCGCAGTGTCTGCTTGTAGTTTATTTTACCTGGACCAATCAGCAAACGGAAGGCGGGAGTTTTGAACGACGTCGATTTTCTGTGCAGTGTCTGCTAGTTAGTTTAACAACGGCAGTGGAGGAAGTGAATGAAGCCAGTCCGTGTTGATAAGACTTCCAAATTAAATTAAATTTGTCTGACAAAGCAGCAGTTCTCATTTACAGTCGTCTGCTTCGGTTCAGTACTTCTCTCCTCTCAGTAGGGTTGCTTATAGCACACACGATTTCCTGTTAGCTTCTTAGCTTAGCCTCCTTCACAGTGGAGCTGGCGCACACATGTCGCGGCCAACCGATCCAATCACTTTAGACTTCAGCAGAGGCCACGCCTCCAGCAAGAATCACTTCTCTATAMRTGAGAGTCCAGACCCTTGTATGAAAGCAAAGTGAAAGACACTCAGTCTACGGGAGGGACCTGCTCTTGGTAGARTTACACYTTCATTATTCCCTCCATTTCTTCATGAAAGGAATCAGTGTATTTTGAAATGTAAACACTATAAAAAAAATCATCTTAATTGAAACCTTGCTGTTTTTGCTTTTTAGATGTGACATTTGCTGCAAAAGGCTACTTTGATGCCTTGGTCAGAATGGGTGAACTGGCCAGTGAAAGTCAAGGATCCAAAGATTTGGGTAAGTGATCAATCTACCTTTTTAGATAAACTCGTAGATTGTTGTACCCGTTATCTCGGGGTTTCATCTGRGTAAGCCTCGCTTGAATCCACAGCAGCATCACTTCTTTATAAGCTGCCCTTACGTGCACAAATTATCCAACATTCGCTTTCTAATGCTAAAACGTGGCATTGGGAATGAATTGTGTGGGTTGATGCAGGGAGTGTTTTTGCTATTTGATTTTATTTTTTTCAAAACAATTTCAGTCCTAAAGCACTTTGTGGTTTGTCTATTGAAAGAAGGGCATTTTTCAATTTTTTGGACCTCCTGCTGATAGAAAAAAAAAAAAAACATGATTAACAATTATGAGCTAGGTGTAGGTGGCATATAATTTATTTACAACAGTGTAGATGATGCTATCATGCTTTCATCTAAGGTGAAGAGAAGACATTAAAACAGGTTTGGTAGGATTTGTTACGCCGTATCTGGATGTCTGTGTTCTGGCTACAAATGTGCTGGTCATTTTGAGAGGAWCATCTTACAGTTTAGTAAGTAGTTACRGTGGTGATCAGTGTCTCTGTGTATCTGCTCTAGTTGTCCACAACCCACTGGGATTCATCTCTGGTTTAAAGAGATTCCCCTTCGCACTGATTGTTCTTTCAGCTGTTTGATCTGCGTAGAAGTTGCTGTTGATTTGACAGGGTCTTTGTTTCATGGGAGCTGCATTCCACTTCGGGATTCCTTTCGCTCAGCCAACAGGGACCGACATGAAAGTACTCGTATCATGTTTTATTCAGTGTGTGGCTCAGTCTCCCCGTCTTTCAGCATCTGTAAAGTTTTCCTCTGGTTCCAAAGTTTATGATGTTGAATATCCGTGTTGCATAATGTGAACATCGGCGATGAGTTCTTGCGCACTCTTGTTTGTGTCGAGTCCCACTCCTAAGAAAAAATGAAACTGATTAATTTGATATGTGTCATATGAACTTGTGTAAATCATCATTTAGTGTTAATTTGTAACACTTTTGTCTTGCAAAGCGAAAATGCWTTGCGTTGTGAAACACTCCTAAACATCACCAAAGAGATTGGGCATCTTTAACAGAGTCAATCATCTTAAAAGATTGGAAGATATTACATTTTATTTTAGAAGTTTAAGATGGCTTAAAATAATTTTCGTCATAATGAACATTACTATATTACCTGTTGCTATTCTGTCTCAAAAGCTTTTTAGTCTCTGTCTCTTTTAAGACTCTTTTTGTTTTGATTGGTCAGAAATAYTTAAGTGTGAAGCATCAGTGTGTTATGTAAAAGTCCTTAGTGGTCCTCATTAGAAGTAAGAGGATAGAAGCAAGGATGAAAAKGAAGGCATTTAAGGACAGTTAAAAAACATTTTTTATAAGAGCAAAAATTTTAGTAATCTATATAAAACATCAGACTTGGGATGTACAATGTTGTCTCCTATTGTTCGTTATCTTTCTTTTGTACAACATGCTGGTAACACCCCAAAGTGCCCTACAGGCCACTGTGGTTCCCAGGGGAAGACTTGGTATTTTATTTTCCAGCATCAAACTTTTTCCAGTCCCCACCCTGATGTCAGCTGCACTGTCCTGACCTCCCGTCAAATCGTGGGCTCGGTTAAGACCCAAAGCTCAAAGTTTCCTGTTTGACTGACAGCAGAGCAAAAAGATATCCACAGATCAGAGACGGCATTTTTGTAAGCTAACTGAAGAAAGTCTAGTTCTAAGACCTCCACCAATGCTACTGTATGTGAATTAGTGATGAATACAAATGCATTGTTTTAAAAGGATATTAAGGCTTAAAAAATACATTTCAGGATATTTGATAAACAACTAAATATATTGAAAGTAATGTTTGAGAGTCTCCATGAAGGCTTCCATAAGTCTCATCAGTCACATGATTGATTGTTTGTGTTGTGTTCATTGATTTCTCTCAGATAGAAAGCAGGTTTTTAGGTTTATTTTTATAGTTTACCAAGAACAAAATGAGCACCACAAATCAAGAATAAAGCCAAGCACATAAATCAAGTATTCAATAATAATTCCAAGGACAACAAGGTAGGTCAGTGAAATTCACGCTTGTCCTGTACATACTGTAGATGGGGAGGGATGTGATTACAAAGACATCTTATTTCAAGTTTTTTTTGGGGGACATTTTTAAAATCCACTTTTTTTTAGCCGTTACACATTTAGTTGTTTATTTGGAGTTTGTAGGAGTGCAAAAAAGTTGAATGTAGTTTCTTCTCGTGCTCTAATGATATCTTTATATTCTGTTCGAGTCATATTGTTTTCAATCTGTTTAGTTTTCTCTATTTTCTATTACGTTTTCTTAACTATTATGTCAAATTATTTGCAAAGGAACAGCCAAGTAAAGTCTGGACTTAGTAATTACATTTTTATCGCCTGATGCGCTTTGTTTGACTTTAAAGAGACAGTATCAAAACAAGTTGAATTGAGTCTTTGTGAATCTTTGTGTTTTGCCTTGACCCAGCATTTCTTTAGGATGAAAACTTGCCTTATTAAGATGACATAATAGTGTTTGTTAAACAGTATATATGAGGCCTCAACTGCCTCAGCGAAGGAGAAGCAGGAGCAGAGAGCAGGGGGACACTCTGGTTTTGTTCTGTGTTCCTGTTGTTGCAATAAAACTCAGCTGGTCATCCCACAGAGTACCTTCATTCTTGGACCACATATTTCTGTTTTTGTTAAATCAATATTTCCATAACATCTATTTTCTCTAGTTCTTAATAAAGTTGCCCATTATGTAAGAATTAGTTACTTTTTCCACTTTTTATATATATAGTTTATGCAATTACCATTAATTCTTTATTTACTATAGTTTATTTTAACCAATTCCTAGTTATACGGTTACCTTGGCTTCATTTCCCAATTTGTTTTATTAAAGTTTCCTCATATGATTGTAAACGTACATAAATAGATAACAGGTCTTCCTAATGTGTTACAACATCTGTACCTGCTCAAACATGTTGCTACATGAATAACTTGGACCTCTTGTTGCACCTCTTTAAAGCCTGTTAATACCACAGAGGCAAAGTATAAAAACCAACTGCAAATGGTCCCACCTACACAGCTCCGACTCAGCAGCTACTCTCCAACTCCTTCTTTATTTTTCTTTCCATTTTTACCTGCCTTTGACATATTTATTCACATTGTTTGATGCTATGATTGAAATCACTTTGTTATATTTTTCTTGGGCTTTTACCATGCAAAGTCTGGCTTGCATGACACAATATGTTCTCACAGAAATCATCCATGATGTACTGGATGTTCCTGCGTTTGTCCACGTTTTCTCATATTTACATGGTTGTGTGCATTATTTTTTTTCAAGTTGAGCCTTGTCATCTGTATGTTTGAGTGCTCTTCTAATCCACTTGTGTGAATTTCAGCCTTAAGAGACAGACTCGGTTTCTCCCAGCAGCCCCACTACTCCCACGCACTCCCTCCCACGTATCCTCCTCTGGTTGGGCTAATCATCGCCTGTCACTTTGCCACCCACATGCATACACATACATGCTAACACATGCACACAAACACACCTGCTTGCCCTCCATTCTTTCTTTTTTTCTCTCTCTTCTACTGCATCTACAGTCTTCCTCTCTTTTTTTTTTTATCCCTCTTACTGTTGGAGTGTGAGCACTTTACTCCCTCAGTGTCAGTTGTGGCTTTCCAAGCCTTCTAAGGGAAACCCAGCGTTTACCAGTCGGGGGGAAGGGAGTGGGGGGGGGGATTTATGACAATCCAAACCAGCCAAGTTTATATGTTTAAATGAAGGAAGGGTTGCTCTTTAAAACTAAGGCTCTGGCAAGATGATTTAAATAAACTTCTTTTAATGCTTACATTTTCATTTGCGCCAACATACTAATTCAATTCAATTCAAAAAAATTTATTCGTTTCATAAAAAAATAACTATATACAATAACAAAAAATAAACCAAGAATGCACAATCAAAATAAAATGAAAGGTAGCAGAAGAAGAATAAATGTCTGCCCCTTTTATCCCCAGAGTATATTCAAACAAAACATAATTTACAAAACAATACTAAATAAAAACATCAACTCAAACAACAATTCATAAAGCTTCACATTTTACTTTTCCATATACCTTCAACAAACTAGCTTTTATCTCTCTTAATAGATATGGCATTTTTAAGATCATCTTCCAGACCATTCCATAATCCCATACCTTGGATTAAAGTACATAATTCTCTCAAGCAAGTACGAAAATATGGCTTCACAAACATTTCCATCCCCTTAAGATAATAACCGTCTCTCTAAGAAAATTTGCCTGAATGTTGGAAGGTAATATGTTTCTGTGAGCCTTGTACATAAACAGTAAAATATTATAGTCAAACAAATCATATAATTTCAAAAATTTCAGTTTGCAAAATAATGTATTTGATGGATGGCAAAAATTAGATTTGTAATAGTTTTGCAAGCTTTACCCCAGACTTCAATACAGTAAATTAAATGATTTCTTTGTATTTGTGAAATTGTATATTTAACAGATTCCTTGTTATTCCCATAGGTACAAAAGTAATGGGATTCTACAAACTTTTGAGCAGACTTCGAAGCACAAATATGCAGGTGCCTTAATMTACTGTACTGCAAATGAGTTTTTGCACAAGTGTTTGCACGATAGAAAAGTTGGGTGATCCGTTTAGGCACTTGCTGAAGAAGTTGTTTGACTACAAGGTTGTTTACACCCCATCAGAATCATGAAATTGTTCTTGTCCTGAGGTAAAGCCGTTAAACGCTCRTTTGTGGCTGCTTTGTGTTTGGCTGGGTGTGTTCCACAGCGCTGCCCTACATGGGCAGAGTTTCACTGTTGATACTTGCACAAATCATTATGAAAGTCAAATCTGAACTTTAGTGCTTGCTGAATCCTAGCACTGTTAAATCACTTATTTTTTATTTTAACATGATGACATTCCATTTTTTTGTTTGGTTTTACAGTGCAAAAAAACCTTAAAACTCTTCCTGGACCATT